CAAGGAAGGATACGGACTGGAAAGGAAAGTTCAAGGGCAAGTAGAAGTCACCATCAATCGGTCGGGACGGTCACCGACATAAATTGGTCCTTCGAGCCGGATTTCTACTGCCGGTGGACTTTGGATAGGTTACAGTACAGTGGGTGCACTTACTACAAGGAGATGCAGGTGGGAAAATGGACAAAGGATTTTTTGGATTGGGATATAGAATGGAGGGATGGAAAAGCGAAGGGGCAGAGGTCAGATAGCCTACTAACGATCCGCCATTCCTCATAACTATCCAGGCGTTCGCGCGTGAAAAGTGTTGAACAGTTGAAGTGCTTGAAATAGCCAGTAGTGAGTGGTAATATTCGGGTGTGACGATTTGCTGCACCACAGCTCAATACAGGTAAATAGTTCTCTGCCCAAGCTAAAACTAACGGCTGAACTAACGTCCATTCGACCCTCACAGGACCATTTGTATTATCGTTTAGTACACACCGCCATTTTGTCCGTTGACAAGATCAACCGACGCACACGTGATACGGCTTAGCAGTCTCTAGGGGCCGGAAGGAACTAGCCTTCCACAAGCCAGACCAAAAATATTCGGCTGGAAGGAATTTGTCTCGGGAACCTAATCGCCAAGGAGACGTTCCCCTCTCGGTAGAGTCACTCCGGCCTTGCCTGGGCTCTGCCGATGTAAAGTTTATGAAAGAAGACGCCTGGGAGTACGTTTTTCAAGAATAAACCACCCACTTTACACCCACATCCACAATAGTAGTAGTATAAACAATAGTTGTCCTCAATAAAATGTTTCCATCTTGAACCACAGTTGCATTTTTTTCATAACGTAATCAGGTGACAGTATTCTGCACGTTTAGTCGCGTAGCCTTTCCGATTGCCCAGTAGTAAGCCGACCTTGAGACCCAGCTCGAGAGGTCTCTTGCTATCGAGAACTTACCGGGAACAGACAGTAGAGTTACAAATTATAATAGACGATGATCTTCAGCTCTTAAGGTGAAAGTTAATGCTTTTCCGTTGATACTGAATCCACACCCGTTCAAACCACACCCAAATTCGAAATGCAACAATATCCAACAAGCATTGCAAATTAGAAAAATCGGAAGTATTGAAATTTTGAACACATTACACAATATTATTGTATAATTATAATATTTTTACTACTGCAATGACAAACGAATGCTGACTACTAATGCTCAGGGAAGTCTTGCCGTAGCTCAGGGAAGGCCTGCCGAACTTCATCAAAGTCCTGATGAAGTTCAGGGAAGCCCTGCCGAAGTTCAGGAAAGTCCTAATATTCAATATCGAACATTTATGGAATACAGCTGCCATGAAAGTTATCTGGCGGGATTTGCAAAAACAAATTAAAAAGCGATTTTCTGCCCTGAGGAACAAAACTTTTGAACATAATGTTTCAAAATTAGACTTGAATTCCAAACCTTTTTGGAAACTCACAAAATTTTTGAAAAAAAAATTCAAAAGCCTATTCCAGCGCTTGAAGAAGGTGGTAAAATTTTGATCATAAATTTCGAAGAAGCTCAGAAACTTGCTAAGCAATTCGAGAGTTTCCATAATTTTAGTTTGAGCCTTAGTAGTCCTATTGAGAATAAGGTTGCTCGGGATTATCTGAATATTTTCTCTCGGGAAAATATTTTTGATGATTCCTGGGGTACTGATCTGGACGAAGTAAGATCTATAATAAAAATTTTCATTATATGAAAGCTCCAGGTGATGATGGAATTTTCTATATCCTCATCAAAACAATTCCAGAGAGTACCTTGTCTTTCCTGGTAAAATTATTAACAGATGTTTCCATTTGGCATACTTTCCTGATAAATGGAAAAATGTTAAAGTTGTTCAAATTTTGAAACCGGATAAAAATCCAGCTGAAGCTTCTAGCTGCCGTCAAATAAGTTTGCTTTCTTCAATAAGTAAACTCTTTGAAAAGATAATTTTAAGTAGAATGATGCTTCACATCAATACGTACTTAATTTTTGCAGATGAGCAGTTTGGATTTTGCCATGGGCATTCAACTACTCAACTAGTTAACTATTTAATTCGTTCAAACAAATCTGAAGGCTGCTCAACTGGAGTTGCTCTTCTAGATATAGAAAAAGCATTTGACAGTGTTTGGCATGAATGTTTGATTGCTAAATTTAAAAAGTTTAATTTTACACTCTATATTATGAAATTAATTGGTAACTTATCAAAATTCCAAATCTGAACGACTACCTGTTTGAGCAGGAGTTCCTCAGGGTAGCATTCTTGGGCCTTTATTGTATAAAATTTTTACTTCGGACGTCCCTGATTTGCCTCAGGGTTGTCACAAATCTTTGTTCGACGATAACACAAGCATTTCCGCTTAAGGAAGAAGTCGTCGTGTAATTTGCAGCAGACTGCAGAAAAGTTAAGATATTTTCACTTTTTATCTAAAAAAATGGAAGATTCCTCCAAACGCTTCCAAAACTCAACTTTTAATATTTCAAAATAAGCCTAAAGCTTCCTTTTTGAAATCTAGTAGTAGTCACATAGTCACTATGAACGGAGTTCCAATTTCCTGGTCAAACCAAGTGAAATATCTTGGATAAGTACTTGACAAAAAATTAACTTTTAAAGATCACATTGAGGGCATTCAAGCCAAATGTAACAAATATATAAAATGTTTGTATCCTCTTATAAACAGGAAATCAAAACTTTACCTCACGAATAAACTTCTAATATTTAAACAAGTTTTTAGACCAGCCATGCTTTATGCTGTGTCACTACCAGGAAAAAAGCAAAGGAATTAGGACAAAGTTCTGAAGATGATTTTGAAGTTGACTCCCTGGTACAGTACTACCGAGGTTTATAGAATTTCGAATGTTGAGGCTTTAGAACAAATGTCCAACAACATAATTAATAATTTCAGGCAAAAATCGTTGCAATCCTCAATTACAACGATTAATTCCCTTTACACTTAGATAAGATTTAGTTTTAGTTTTTAGTTTTAAGATGTTGATTGTTATATTGACATGCCGGTTTAAAAAACCTGTTTAAAATACTGATTTGCTAAAGCAGGAACAATGTACTATAAAAATACTTAGATATATATCATAACAATTAAGGCTGGTAAGTTACTGTAGTAGCTTGGGTACCTAGGTTTAAATGAAATGTAATTTATTTTGAATTTGGAACAAATGAAGAGTTAAAAAATGCATTGGTTGGTATAGAAAGCTCGCAATTAATAACTGTCGAAGTGTTTCAAGGAACAACAATTTGAGAGCATTAAGAAGCTTGCATAAGAGCATCAAAAGTTAGGAAGAGGAAAAATAATTGGGTCTCACAGAATGAATTAAACAAGCGTCACATTTGACATACAATTGGATAACATAAGATCCGAAATTCAGCTCAAAACGTACTTTCTACCGCGACAAAAAATTTCAGTAACGATCCATGTTTTATGTCGACAATGAATTCCATTACATTGTACATTAAATAGTCATCCAGTTGTTCTAATGATTTCTAGTCCCTATGCCCCGAGAAGCGTAACAAACTCTCGTAAAGGAACTTTTACTCATGGCCTATCCCATTTCACCAGCTGAGTTTTACTTACTTCTCAGGTACGCACACTCAAGCATATACACTCCACCAAAACCACACGCTGGAAATTACGAAATTATGATTCTTTATTCGAAATTCCATTCTACTATCTACCGCCAACTATCTTGAACATCATTATTGCGTTGTATAGAAAATGAGTAAAAACGAATCGAAAATAGAGAAGCATATTAACTCTCTCCTCTGCCCGGCTACGTACATAAAAGGTCCCACTCGAGCGATGGGTGGTTGGTTGGTGGGTCGGCCGGCTCGGATGGCCGGTAGTCGCGAGGGAGTTACTAATGTGAAATAGAATCTTTCCTCACCATTGTACAGAAGATTATTATAAAATGAAATTCCACACAAAAGGAATAAAAAAAAAAAACAGAACGGGTTCATTTCACCGTTCGACGTGAGTTGCTTGCTTTCTACTACGGCTGGGCAGACCATTAATCGGAACGAGATAGAACGATAATAATGAACTTACACATTGACTGGCTTCTCCATTGTGTTTCATGGTTTCTATGCTCTTAATTGTACAATACACTGTCAGGGGGCATGGTTGGATGAGTGTTGGTGCTTATATGCCCCACCTTTTTATCTTTTTTTAATTGAGGGGCGGAGCTTTATGCACATTGCGTTTCCATGCTACCACTACATGGCTGTCCTGTTGAACACTTGTTTTATGCAACGCATTGGATGGAGATCTCACTAATACAATCTCGTGCTCTGTGGGATTGGGTGGAAGAGCCATCTTTCCGGTGGCTATGAAACACAACAGTAAGCATTGAGCATAGCACAAGCACGCGGCTCTTTCGAATTTTGTGAGTTCACAGACTTGCTTGTGGAGAGTCGGAACCAACGATCGGTGAGAGAAGAAAGCATAATTGACGACGATTATTGTGTGTTGTCGCGATTAAATGCGTGTTGATACCGAGTCCCCCGCCCGGAACAAGTGTATGAGTGAGAGGGAAGAATATTTAGTGTGAGCATAGTTTACCGGAGTATTGAACGGTATGACAAAAGCGCAACAATAGCACCAAAAGTCGAGTCATTTGAAATCAATTCCCGGTGCGTTGCTGAATTGGATCCGATTTCTTTTGAAATCATTCGTTTACGTTAGGCCTAGTCGAGCGGACGCGCGTTTTCCGGTGGATAATAGAGAATAAACACGTTGATGAAATTGATTGGGGATTAGTGTGACACGCGGTTTTCGGTATTGATTAGTGGCAATTGTTGAAAGTGATTTGGTGAATTATTAGCTATCAACAGTAAGTTGCATCTTGAAAACATCTAAAATTGAGTGATGATTTTGTGAAAATAAGAAAATATTACGTGAATATTGCTGAAAAACAAAAGCAGTGAAAATACGAGTGATTGTAGAAAATAGTGTACGAAAAGTAAGTGTAAAGTTGATTTCATAGTGATCCACCGTGGCGTAAATCGGTCAATCTGGGTAGTCAATATCTGACAGAGTTGGGCGGTGAAAGCCCAAAATCGGGACCACTGGCAGTGCCGACGAGCTACGGTGGGGGCACCCCTCAACAGTCGCTGTCCGGTTTTTCTCGCTTGGATTGTAACCCGAACTCATTTAACCTGGCGGCGTTTAGATCACCCGGTTTGCTAGGAACGCATGGATTTAATTTTAGTAACAACTTTGGCTTCCGGGACCCGTCCGTATATGACCCAGCAAACGTGCCTCCGACACCAATACAGCAACATCTGCCTCAGGCTAATGGGACAAGCCTGTTGAATCTAACGCAGGGATTCCGAGGAGCTAGCGACGGAAGTCCTGTAAATCTGTACCTCGGCAGTTCAAGTCCGTCGAGGGATACGAATTTGGACTCGTACGGCTACCAAAAGAAGGACTATCCAGACAGCCAAGATAACATTAGTTTCAACGAACAAAACAAAGAAGACGAAGTGAACGTTCTTAGTCGGGATAACAGTCCTAACGGAAGGGTAAACTACAACTCCGATAGTTCGGACGTACGTGAAAAGCGCCTCGATACCTGCAGTCCCGTTGAAAGCAATCGCTCTTATTCTAGTCAAAATAAAGACGATCTTACAGGCTATCACAGTCCTCATAACGATAGCTTAGGATCACGAAGTCCGGAGAACCTTTCTCACGTTGGAGCGAATAATCCTGCCATAACCTCGAACAACGGATCTTACGCTCCGAATAACAACAACGCCTCTGCGTTGACAAACAACAATAACCTAATCAACAATAACCACCTGAAGGGAAAATCACACACGATATCGGACATGTTGGATCACAAACTACAGATGAGTTTTCTCGGCCCTCCACTGGCCGCGCTCCATTCGATGACCGAGATGAAAGTTCAGGGAGGAAGCCCGGTTCAAGCAATGTCGCCACAAACTCAGGCGCATCAAACGGGGATGGTGGGAGGTGGTGGCGCCCCTAATCCGCACGGTATCGATAACATCCTGTCCCGACCGCCGCCGGTTACCAGTGCCCAACTGAATGCCTTAGGAGGTGGGTAATTGAGTTTATATTTGATTTGATTTGTATTTCTTTTGTAATCAGTAGTGTTATTCGTCATGCTGAGTTATATTGTTCCATAACAAAAAATATATATATATATATTCATACGAAGACCTTTTCAAACTAGGAGCAATGGTTTTGTGCTTTTGGGGTGTATGTGAAAAAATATAGATAAGTGGAATTTACTGAAGGTATCGAGAAGATCCTTTGACCGACGGAACTTGACTTGTGTGGTAAATTTAGAAGTGATGGTTATATGTTCTTGTTTTTGAGTGTATCTATAACAGCGATTTTGAACCGGTGGGAAATTCCCCCAGACTTGCCTTATGGGGTGTTTACATCTGTGCTGGTGTGCTAGCGCTAGTGTACTAGAACTGTACTAAAAAGTAGTCAGCATAATGTAACAGGGCGTTGGTTGATTGTGCTGGTTGTGCTAGTAAACCAGCATATATGTAGTGGCACCTTCCTTACTGATTTTTTTAGCTGTTCAAAAACTCAGTGGAAAACTACCGAACTACCCAAAGGGAGGCCGTCAGTAGGGGTCTTGAGATTAGATGATCTAACAGATGATGAAACAAGTCAAACCCATCATACAACAATTCAAATCACATCAGAAATCGATAACAAGATCAATGCTAGTAATATTTGAACCAAAGACTACACCTGGTAATGTTTCGAGTGCCCCTGGGAAAGTGATCAGTGACTCTATTTGTAAATTATTTCACGCTCTGGTTCTTATTTTCCCCATTCCTGTGTCTATGTTGTTAGTTGGGGGGCTCGTATCAATTTAAATATGTGAGGCGAGTCAAATCTCGCCATAGGTGGATGAATTTATGTTTTTATGTTATGAATTGAAAAACATTGAACACTCTAATTATATATATTGGTATCAAAGTATTTTATTATGCATTTCTAACTGAACTCCTCAAAAGTGCGAAATCGATAATAAAAGTGCGCTTTAACGTCATATCGTCTTGGTGTCTTCTGCGCACTTATCCCTTCTGATCAAAGTAATAAGTGCACCGAAGACACCAATACGATTTAATGTAAAAGCGCACTTTTATTAGCGTTTCCGCACTGAAGGAGGGAACCGAAACTAATTTCAAACATTCAAAAAATTATTATAAAGCCTTGTTTTTAGTTTATATATTATTCTTCTCTCATCAAGAGTTTAACAGGATAATTAAATATTTTGTTGATTCCCGCAGAATAATCGCGCATTAGATTGAACATCTTACGGCTAAATAGACACCTGGACATCAATTACTAATTTCAGATAAACTAAGACATGTTTAGAAAGCTCTACCTTTTTACCATACAGAACGTTTTTTTTTGACGTCACTGTGCACTAGTGCAGCGGGTTTCAAACATTTACTGGCCAAATGCAAAAAAGACCCTGTAATCACAAAATGACCTCAAAACGCTTATATGTTTTTAACCTTCAGAAAATTCTCAAATGAATTACGAAAACCCCAAAATAACCTTAAAACTACAAGGGACAGTCCAATGGGGTTGTACGAATAGTTGACGTAGGACTACGCTAGCATATGATAACTATTTTGATCGAACGTTATTTAAAATTCCTGATATTATTATGACATCCATTGATTTCTTCCGAAATGTAACAATTGATCAGTGTCCATTTTCCGTTTATTACTAATAAGATACTTTTTCAGCTCATCTGTAATTATTCTCTTTCTTTGAAAATTGTGGTGACCCTGAAAAGGGCCATTTTAATGGTTTTTGGCTCTGAAAAGAGGCATTTTGACATTTTATGGCACTCAAAAGTACAGGTTTGGGGATGTGGTTGAATTAAGAGGAATTATTTTTGACGCCCTGAAAAGGATGGTTTTCGTTTGAAGCACATTCTCGTCTGTTGAGCGGCAAGCAAATTACTCGGCTGCTTGCCCTAGGCAAAAGTGTAGCCTTAATATTAAACGGATCTCCACTTTTCGATGAACAACACGCACTATATCGTGACGCCACTTATCACAGGTTCGTATTCTTCTGGCAGCGACAGCTTTGATGCACGGTACCGGGTTGTTCGATCTTTGTCGTGGTTGGGTAATTCTGAAATCTGTAAGCACTTTCTCCACGGAAACGGTGAGCATGACGATGACGCGCTTGATGAAGATGGCCCACAGTGGTGTTTCTCATGATGAGCAACTGTACTCGAACAGTGGCGGTGTGGCTTCTTCACTACTTCTCTTCTCTGACTAAAGCGCTCTTGCTAGCAAGCTGCTTGCGGGGAGCCAATCCACCGGTCCACATGTCGTGTGCTGGGCGATCGATATGAAGACGTCCGAAGTTCGGCTTATTTCGTTTGGGACCAGCTATGTGATGGCTGTGTTAGGAAGACACCTTGTAGTCTAAGCATATGTATGGGAAATATTGATGCTACCAATTTTAGTTAAATTTCCTAGCTGTTTAACTATTTTCATTATTTTTACTATATGCCACAACATTGGTGAATGAAGCCTCCGTCGAATGGCATATTGCATGACATATTTCACATAAAAGCTCTGGAGAAATATGCGTTCTAAACCTGACCCTTTTCGTTACATGTTCATTTTTCGTACTCGCAAAGTGTACCTCAATATGGAAAACAAAGACGTAGTGCTACGTAAAAAATGTCAACATACTAAAAATGCCTTCACAATAGTCAAACTAGCCTTCAATGACCAAAATTGCTTAAAAAACTAAAATGGTATTGCTAGAATAGATTTAAATACGTCAAAATAGGCTTAAAATTTCTAAAACTGCCGGACAACTCTTATAATAATAATCTAAAAACGACAACTGAAATGTTGAAATCAGTGTCTGTTTTATCATTTTCCATCACACGCAAGGAATAGCGTTTCAACTCAGTGTAGACACTACACGTTCTACAGCGCTATATTTGTGTAAAATGAGAATAATCATGTTGCATTTGATTATCAATATCATCTCACCAAGATGAAGACGAATATTAATATTTACAACAACACAGGCGATAATGAACATCCAACCACGAATGAACAAAAACAAATGTTGACTTCGATACTCAGAGATTGCCTTGATCAAGAGAATGTTGTTATGTCAAAATTCAAATACATGCATGTAGTTGGTCTATCTGTGAAGGTTGTCTTCATTTTCAGCTAAGTTGAGCGTAGAAGAAATGATTTTTATTAGCACTGGGGTCCTACTCAAAAGTGGCCCAAAAATAATCAAAAAATGAATATCCGATAAAGTAGTATTAAACACTAAATAGAAAAGCACCTCAAAACGATGCAATGGTAGAAGAAAGCCGACTCCCGGCCTACTTAAAACACCAAAATGGGCAAATTTATCTTTTTTTTTACATATCCTATAATCACAATAATTGTATCAACATACTCAAATGTTTTTTTAATGTCTAGAAAATTCTGAAATATATTACGAAAACTCCAAAATAACCATAAAAACGCCAAAATAATAAAAATGGACTCATAATAAGCTTTCCTTGACCAACATTGCTTAAAAACACTAAAATGGCCCAGCTAGAATAGCTTTTAAACGCCTAAATGGCCTTAAATCTCGAAACCTGCCTGACAACTCAAATAATGAGCTTTAAAACAACAACTGTAATGTAAAAATGGTCCAAAAATGTTAAAAATTGCCTGGAATATCCAAATTGCTTTTAAAATTTCGAAAGTTGCTTTTAAATTGCTAAAATGGCTTAAAAACGCCTGAAAAGTCCTGAGTTATTCATAGAACCGCCCAGAAATCGCAGTAGCAAAGCTCAAATAACCCATTGATCACAAAATGCCATTGCAATTCTTAAATGATTTTTAAACCCAACAAATTTATGAAAGATATAAAATTGTAAATCTGCACTAACATCAAGACGACCGCGAGTATAAGGTTCAATTACTGTTAGTTTAGATTTAAGACATAAATAATGTATAACGCAAAGGTATCACTCTGTAAAGTTTGTTCGATGAAGCCTGTAAAGATAAAGTAATTAACCAAAAAAACGTATTTTAGAAAGAATGATTGAATAAATATTGATTTAGTAGCCGCTTTAGCTAGAAAAATAATACCAACAGATTGTTGTTGTAATTCAATTTTTATTATCCCAACATAATTTAAAATTCAGATAAATTGAAAATATGCTCAAGTTGTCTGATTTTTCAACCCATTGATTGCGAAACTCTGCACTTCTGTTTACTTTCTGTTCATTGCATGTCCTCACCAATTTAACATGATTTTCTCCGAAAAAAAAATAACACATTATAGAGGGCTACATATTATTTCTACTGCGAATCGAAATTTTTAAAGCCAACCTTTCTCATATGAATAAAAATAACTGTTGGATTGCTTTATAGGGATTTGCCAAAGCGGATTTCAGCTTAAATGAATCTGTTGCGATTGCAACGAAGGAGACAATTTTTCCGATTTTCTGAACGTTGTATTTCTAGTGATAACGTTAAAAAATTCCTAACGAATGAAAATTTAAATGTACAGTAGTATAAGTTTTTGTTTCTGTTGTACATAGTAATTTTAGATTATTCTTAGACGATAATTAGGTAAGTTTACTGGTTTGTGTATAAAGAGACTTACGTTTAGTGTCCCTTTTTGTGTTTAGTTGTTCGATCGGTGATGGGATCACTGTAAATTAGATTCCTAGGTTAGGTTATGAATAACAAATTTTCAACAAATTTAGGTTACAATTATGAAATTTTACCTGCTTTCAATTTGCTTTGTGTCTGTTTTAAATATGCGTGAAAGTCCCGTAGATTCCCGAGTAGCAGCTATATAATAAGTGATTCTAGGTTTAGTTTAGTTTTATAAATTCATTTTCTGCATCATCACTGCATAAACTAACCTACGCTTACGACCGTACTATTTCACCGTACTGTTAGTTCTAGTTCACTTTTATTACTAAATGCATTATATTCACTAATTTAAATAGGATAAGCAAATTTTAATTAATTTTCACTAGCAATAAGTAGGAATTATATCGAATTTTA